ATGAGAAATCGGTAGTAAGGACGCAGAAGTTATTAAAATTCTCGTCAAGCGCTGCCAACTTGAAGGATGATTGGCTCTCATGAACTAAGTAGCGGCACTCTTTCTGCCATTAAGGACTACAACTGGTATATATGTGGCTCACTAACTTATCAGAGCACCGAATCTTAGCAATAATAAATACTTTACGAATCAAATTCAGCGAGCTGTCGCTCGTTAAGATCCAAAGGACTTTGTCCGCTAATATCAACAGTGAACCAAAAAGGTAAAAGAGATATACAAAATCATCACAATGTCACTGCAATGTTGGTCAAAGTCATACGAAGGGCCGTTTTTTTGTTGTTGTAGCGGCAGAAAGTAATCTTGAAGTAATTTTGAAGCATGATGCCAAGTTAATAGTCCTTGACCGTATAAATATACGGGTTCTTTCCGGTTACTTAGCACTAATTATCGTGAGAACGGTCCGAAGGACGGTATACCCACAGACTAATACCGGAATACCATGCTTGGTTGTCAGTGTTTTAGGAAATGGAAAGCTTTCATCGAAGCATACGAGTATGAGAGGGATATTAAAATCTGTCGTCAATCTAACAAAGTCATATTTAATACGTTGATTTCGTAGGAAGGTGTTTGGATGACATCTTCAATTTTTTTTTTCACTGAAAACTTTCTCTAACTCTTCGATTGCTAGCGAGCCGAATATTTGTTGAAGAATACCATAATTTTGCGCCCTGATTACATGTGTCAATACCAGGCGAACGACATAAATTCATAAATTTCACCAACAACAACTTCCAATTCAAATGAGCTCACACGCCAATCACTTGACAGACCACAGTTTGCCCTCGACAGATGAATTTTCATTTCCGAAATCACATTTGGCCCCTACTGCGCACCATCTAATCATTGCCAGGCCTCAAGGCAACGACAAAGAGCTGCCCTTAAGCGAACCGGGGGGCAAAGCAATCTCATGCGGCAACCAACTGTGAACAGGTATTGAAATGCGAATTATGATTTAGTGGCAATGATGTAGAAATTCAACTGAATGATGAGATATTTTTCAAACCCATTGAGCATGTGTGTGTGTGTGGATATGTGTGTGATTGTGTTGAAATCGAGAGACTCGGCGTCGGTATCGACACATTAATGAGCTGACACAATGGTACAAATTGCATAACACAAGTGCCAAGCTAACAAATGCCGAATTACGCAGCGTTTGTAGCCAAATTTATGCTTTACAAGCACATATATTCAGACATATTCAGATATACGTACATTCATATGTGTTTGCTTTTCTATGGCAGTCCATAAATTAAATAAAAATATTTCATTTTCATAAGCCACAATCAAACAGCATTGAAACAGTTGATACCTTTGATTATCAGCGCACCAACACGCCATACACACACACACACACTCGCGCACATAAACACATACACACATGCACATTGGTTCACAAAACATACTCTGCGGTCATAATTCAAAGATTATTTCACGAACTTATTGTTTTTGTTGCAGATTTTTGTCTGGCAGCACACAATGTCGGTGAATTGCAGCTGCTGTAGCTGCTGAGGGGAGCGCTGCGGCCACATGGGGTAAATGCAATAAATTGGAATTTAATCATAATTTCGGCAGGCAACTCAACGAAGACACACACACATACATATATACATATAATATATGTATAAGTCAACAAGCTGACAATAACAAAAGAAATGTGCAACAACAACCCAAAATACACACACACACATACAAACTCATGCCTGTGTCCAATCAGCATAGCAGCAGTCGCAGCCAGCCAGCCATTGACTTGCCACAAATTCGATTTTGGCATTTCGATTTATTTCGAATGCGAATTTTGTGGGCTCATTTCGTTATTAATCGAGCACATGTTTCTATTTCATTTGAGCTGCCATGTCCCGTTGGATAAAAGTGTGTATGTATGTCCATGTAAATGTGTGTTAGACTTCTATGTTTTTGTGTTGTTGTTGTTGTGTGTTGATTTTGCGGCTCGCCAATTTATATTCCCAAATATTTATTGATTACATGCTTTTTGTTGTCGCTTTTTGTTTGTTGCTGTTGTTGTGTGTTTTTACATGTTTTCGCTCTTTTCTTTCCCACAATTTACACTATTTGATTTACCGGCTTTAATAGTGATTTTTTTCGGATTTTTAATTAGAGGCTACGTAAATTATTGTGTACTTTAGCTTCCACGAAATTATCTTGTCAATATTTTTAAGCGGTTTTAACAAGTTCAATGGCACTGCATATTCGATAACTCCAACAGAATCGATTTCTTTTATTGGTGTATTGAAGCACTATTGCAGAAATGATATTCATTTTATTTATTTTAATTTGTGCTAAATAAAAAATAGATTTTCTCGTACATTTTTGACCAACAAGTCCAGTGTGCTAAAGCTTGTTTTTTGAGAAATCAAGGAAATATTTCTGGAAAAATTAAAGCGAATTCTCATTCGTCATAAGTAAAAGTGACCCTATTAAATGGCGTGGAAGGACGAAATTATTTGAAAAAACTGTGTCTTTATACCGAGATATATTCCTTTATAATCACTTCTCTAATGGAAAATCTCTGACTGAAGATGGGGTCATGCGTAGAAGCTCGCGCATGCTCGATGCGACGAATAAATCTAGAACTACGCGCTCTTAGCGCCAACTAGCGAAAACACCGCAAGACTTTTTTGACAACCTAATATTTAGCTTAGAGGACAGTGTCCCGTCAAAATTTTTACTAAGAGCAACTAGTTCAGAGATTGCTAAGTGCAAGTAGTTTGGAGGAACTCTTAAAGTTAGTTGTGGGGCCGAAGGAACTTGCACTCGCACAAGTTCAGATTGCTGACCAACGCCTGCACACCTCACGGTAAATCCAAAGCTTCAGCGTTAGAGCGTGAAATGTCAGTCCTGGATGTGTTAACGGTTCTTCAAAATACAACAAATGCTCTGGTTATTATTTATTGGAAAAAGTCTCACGATTTATACGAAAAAACTGTCATCTCTGAAAAGTGTAAGGTATGCAATTAGAATATACCAAGAACAACTGAAGTGGTCGTAGAGGCCAAAGAAAAGAAATCCCAAATATGGATTGTTGTGGTTGCAACGCTGGACAAAATATATCTCAACAATTTTCCGGAATTCTGCAAAATTGAGGGAGATTAGCAATAAAAATTGCAGTTGGGTGGAAATGAACTTATTTTAAATAGATATATATCTAATTTTATTAAGGGGAAAGGGGTAGTCAGAGGCACGAAAAAATGAGGATTTCCAGTATTTTTTTTTTTTTTTTGCAATCAAATCGTGTTATTTTACAAAAGTAGTAATATGGAATTATAATAGAATGTGTTGACTTGAAGTCAAGAGTCAAAAAAAATTTTATTTCCAAAGTTATAGTTGTTTGTGTTGACCCAGTTCCAAACAAAGGTACTTGTTTTGACAACCATAAGCCCTTTTAGATTCATCTAAAATCAATCGGACAAAAAAATTAGTTTTATAAATGGGCGTGATCGAAGGATTTTTTGTTTTTTCAAAAATTAACAAAATGGAAACAAAAAGATCACAAGAAAAATCGAAATTTTGAAAAAATAAAAATCCTTCGATCTGAAAGCTGTACAAATTCCATTAAAAACATTGTTTTGAGAAAAACGCGTTGAAAGTTTCAGACTAGCGCTTTGAAGTGCCTGAGCTCTTTTTGTTATTTGTCGAATAACTCAAAAACTAATTATCGGATCAACGTGACATTTTCAGAGAATATGAGAATATTTTTAAGATATTACACTTAACGAAAAAGCAAAAACAAAAAAAAATATTTTTTTAAAATTCTGACTACCCCTAACCCCTTAAATTGGTCCTTTACAAAGGACCCAATTTAGTTTTTCAACGAAAACACAAAATCTTATATAACCCTATATCTACAACAAAAAGCTATTTAAATTATACATTTTTATACTCTCGCAACAAAGTTGCTAAGGAGACTATTATAGTTTTGTTCACAGAACGGTTGTTTGTAAGTCCTAGAACTAAAATAGTCAGATATATGGTTATATATACCAACGTGATCAGGGTGATGAGTAGAGTTGAAATCCGGATGTCTGTCTCTCCGTCCGTCCGTCCGTCTGTCCATCCGTCCGTGCAAGCTGTATCTTGAGTAAAAATTGAGATATCTTGATGAAACTTGTCATGCGAGAGTATAAATTCTTAGGTGACACCCGAACTTAGCCCTTCCTTACTTGTTAAAGATACTTCTTGAAAAGTATTATTTGTGATATCATTTCGTAATTTGCTTCTTGAATCCACAGAGTTCTTAAATAGAGATCATAATAATGTTGCAAACATAATTTAGAAACTTGAACTCAAAAATATCTATAGAGCCTTCCTGTAATTTTGTAAGAACCAACAGCCTTTTAAAGTTTAAATATCTATTAAATTTTGCTTTTATTGCCACATTTTTTTTCAGCACTGAGTGGATCTAACGTACTTGGCGTATTTAAAATGATCTAAGAAATACATGTCAAGGGAGACCAGTCATTTTAAAATATTTTTGACTTTGGATATTAAAAACAATTTTTTCATAGACATTATATTTTTTATATCGCAACGAAGTGTTGAAACCAGAATTTGAGAAGAACTTTGACTAACTGATCAATCGGTTAGCAAATGTCAAAGGCTTTTGTTGCTTACATAAAGCCGCTAAATATGACAATGTGTATGTGTATAAGTGTAAAAAATAAAAAACATATTATTTTTATTTTGTGACAACATGACAACAACAATCACAAACATTTAAATATCATTTTGAACAATTTTTATTTAAGCCCGGTCGCTTGTATGGTACATACATACATATAATATATCATCATTAACGAGCTATAAATACTCGTCAGCTTATTTATTTAGAAATTGATTCCATTTCTTTAATACTGCCGATAGATATGTATATTTAGACTGATTGTCATAGGTAACTATTTCAATAATTTTTAGAGTCCACTCACCTTGATTTCGTGTAAGAATTCCGTTTCGTCCAGTAGATTGATGCGCACGGACATGATCCGCGAGGGGCGACAGAGGCAATTCATCTTGCTGCTTTGCGCTGAACTGCTACTAAATCATATATACACACTTACATATACACAGCGCTCGATTGCTTTTACTCTGACATTAAATAAAGCCCACTCACATATGAACATTTACTTTCTTCGAAATCGAACACATTTTCACACTTAATCGCGTAATTTTTGACTTTATAAGTTAAGAGTAAAGCACTCTTTCGTGGTAAATTATGATTTCTATATATGTGTATGTGTGTCTTTCTCCTGCCTTTATTGATTATGGTTTCACTTAATTCTTATTTATTTCACCACATTTGTGCTAATCGAACTCATATTAATCATGCTTCTCGTTTTTGCAATGGATATTCGTAGCATTCTTCGGGTGAATCTGCAAATAAGCGAAAAAGAGATCATACGATTAGAATGAGTTGAAAATTTTATGTTATTTGTATATATGTGTATGTGTATTTATAAGAAACATTTATTGTATATAAAGAAGAATTTAGTTGCTGAACTGCTTTTGAAGAACAATGCATATTTATTTTTGAACTGATTTCCACAAAAGTACTCTTGATACGATTCCCTGAATCCCCTGAAATACGATAAAATTTCGAGTTGCATTTATTGCACACTTTGCCTGTAGCAGCCCCTATGGTTAGATGTATTTTAATGAGTTTGACGCTTTTAGTTTGTCGTGACTTCTTGGCCAAATTAAAACCGTGACGGCCCAGCCTCTGTATTCGTCAGTCTTGGCTCCGCGTTACTTTTTCCTATTATAGGATGGTCCATATCCAGTCTCCCTACTTTTTCAAAGAAAACACACAGAAACTTCAATGGCATTTACTTTTTGAAGATTATTTCTTTCAAATGTTGCCCTCGGCTACGTCTCAGATGGTTCTTGCATTACGTCCAATTTTCGATGACTCGTTTGAACATTTCGACTGATAACACGCATGATGTTTTGCTCCAAGAACTGAATCGACGCGGAATTGTTCGCGTAGACTTTACACATACTTTACATATTCCCACAGAAGGAAGTCTTCTGTGATATCGCACGATCTTGGTGGCCAATAGATCGGCCCGAATTGTGAAATTATCCGTGTTCTCTCAATAAATCCGTTGATTGATGCGATTTGTGGGTAGTGGCGCTGTCTTGCGAAAGTAAATGTTGCTGCGATCTCGAGGCACCAAATAGTAGTTCTTGGACAAGCTGTATTTTGTACATTTTCAACTTAAAATCTCGATGAAAAATGCGGCAAATCGTAACATAAGTCAGTCCGAGTGGCTACGTACACTACACTCTCAGCTAAGGATGATGCCAAGTTTTCTTCACTGCATGCTAGACGTGGTCTTTTGGTAGAATATTGTTCAATTATGAATGCTGGGTCTCAAGATGGGTGATGATGTTGCGAATAGTACTTTCAGTAGGACGACTATGTTGACCATAAGTTGAGCGAAGCACATTCTTTCCATAATGTGAATTTTCGTAATAAAGTATAAAGTCTTGTAAACGTTGCTCAGGCGTAATTATTTCCATAATGAAACGCCAAATAAGACTAAACAAACATATCAAGACATCTTGATGCGATTCAGACGTATCAAAGAAGGGGTATTGTAAAAAGTGCTTCTACTTGGATCACCGGCAAAAAAGGAAACCTTAAAGAGACACCGTTTTAGAAGCATAAGGCTATCCTAAAAATCGAGTTTGAGAAGGAGTTTTTGAACCGCTAATGTGGTTTTGAGCTGAAAGACGCAGACAGTCGCTTTAGCAGCAAGCAGCACATGTATACATACAGGTATGTACATATGTATACGTACAATTTGTCTGCATCTCTGACAACAATGTTGTATTCAACCAAACAATATCAAACTCAAGGCTTGACCAATCCTACAAATAAATTGCACCGACAGGCGCGCGGAAATTAGAACGATATTGCATCGATAAACGAGTATGTACATACATATGTATGTACTTCTTGAATGTGTGTATGTACCAAAGTGTGCAATGTACAAAATTTAAAAGAATTTTCTCACCCTACCTAGAAAAAATCCAGCACTGTGTGTAAGTGTGCAAATAAATATATAAAATTATTATGTAGACGGAGGTGTTATAAGCCATACTTGTTCTAATAAATATTTTGTGAGGCTTTGCTGTTTTGTTTTCATAATAATGGGTGTTTTTTTCGACGTGTGATTGCGATTTTCACACGTAATTCTCCTTCAGCCATGAAACTAAGTTGAATGGGGGCGTTAATATATAAAACTATCGCTGTGAGAGTGATGATAAACCTTAAGTCATCCTGCAGACGCCACTAGATTCTCAAAAAGTTGCTTTTGGTGCTCTATGGGCAGAGAGAATCACTGGTCCATATTTTTTCAAACACTAAACCAGCAATAATGATACAGTCCATGAAAAATAATCCTATGAAGGACCTTTGGTTCAAGCAAGTCTAGGTAACAAGCTATGCAGCTAATGAAACATCAATTTATTTGCAGCTAACTTTTGGTGAGTACATTTTCACACATCGGGGAACTGTGGCGTGTACTTTCAGATCGTGTGATTTAACACCCCTGGACAATTTTTTGTGGGGTTTTGTGAAGTCGCTTTTGATGCAGATAAGTTTGAGACGATTGACGCCTGATCTTTCCTACGGAGTTGGGGTCCTCCTTTTCCTCTGCTTCCTCCGGCGGGTACTGCATGAAAAACCTTCAAAGCTGCAGTCTCTTAATTCGCTAAACTGTGTCAATGTCTCCACAGCTTATCGTTCCATTGAAATAAATGGAATAATAAATCCTCCGCAGAACTTTTCTCTCTAAAACTCGCAAAGCCGAATCAGTATAGTTTGGTCTTTGTTCGCCTAGATAGGACTTTACTTTTCAATTGCCTTCTCAGTCCAAAGTACCACCTGTCAGCAAAAGCGATCCTTGGAGTTGGAGTTGGATTTCGAGACTGTCCTCGTTGTTGGTGTTAATTCTGGTTCCAAGATAGACGAAATTATCTACGGCTTCGAAGTTATGACTGTCAACGGTGACGCGTCCGTCAAGCTGCGAGTCGACTCTTATTTGGATAACGTTTCGCCTTCGTTCGCTACCAGACCCGTTGACTTCGCTTCCTTATACGGTTTGAAGAAGCAGAACTATATTGAAATCTGCAGCTCGAATTCATTTCCCCAGGAGTAGATTGAAAAAGTCGATCGATAGGGTGTCCCCTTTCTAAAATCTCGTTTGGTTTCGAACTGCTCGGTCCCTTCCGATCCTGACGGAGCTTTCAGTATTGCTATTTGAGAACTACTTGACTAAAAAAACACCCTTTATAAACAGCAAATAAAAGCAGTTAGGCACTCAAAATCGTTTAATTTTATGTTGTTTCCATTTTTTAGAATTACTGGCAACTTGTGTGCGAATGCAAATATACATATAGTATGTTATTCGCGCCAAGAATCGTAAATAACACCGCCTAGAACAAACAGGCGCTTACTGCGCGCATAATTATTATTTATTTTCTCCGTTTGCTTGAGACTAATTCTGTGTTTATTTACTTGCTCTGGCGGCGCGTGAGAAAAATTCGCAAACAATTGTTGCTGTGCCGCAGCTAGCAAGTTGGACTTAAGTACATAGTTAAGCACTCATAAGTGCAGGCAGGCATAGTCATAAGCATGCTTAGTGTGGCAAATACGAAAATATTTGCTACAACTTGAATTTAAGCATACATATGTGTATGTATGTGTATGTAAATAATAAATATTTCTTGTTGCAAGCAGTGTGGTAAGTGTGGCAGTTACAGCGCGCCAATTGGTGCATGCTACACTCGACAATTGGCGCGCACTCGGCACTTGCAACATGAGCGGGACGACTTCTACTCGAGTAAATTTACTATTACCTGCGAGTGTAGACGCCAAGCGTAGGGGGAAGGGTGCACAATGCGTGCGGCTTTCGTGGATTAAGCGACTGCCGGAACTTTGGCTTTAGAATGAAAGCGGCAGCCAGCAAGCAACGGATAAGTGTAGAAATTACTGCTCGACTTCTCTTATTTATTACCAGCACTTGCTTGCTGTTGTTATTTTTTCAGCTTATTACTAGCAACAACTGCCAGAAATAGCACGAAAAGTTAATTAACCACTTAAAAAATCAGGCCAAATCGCAAACGTGGCATTTCGCTAACGAATTCTAAGTGCACAAGCACTTGGCTCGCCCTTTGGCTCGCGCGAGTGAAAATACTCGTAGCCGCCGCTCTGGATATCCGCAGCGAATTTTCCTGCTTGCATACATACTCATAGGTTTTTACTCGTAAATAAGTCAACTTGGAGGAGGGAAGCCGTGCGCTCAAACACTTGAGCGCCTGTTGTAGGTGGCCTCTTATTGTTACTGGTGGCGCTGAAATCACCAGTAAATTTGAATGACCAAACGACCCACTTTTTCAAAATAATCGCTAGTATCCAATGCCGCTCTTAATGCTGAAATTGAAGTAGCCTGCGTCCATGGTAGTGCTTGTTGCAGCGAAATTGCAGCTCTTATTTCGATTTTCGGCTTTGTTGCAAGCGTTGTGCGGCAGCTGTTTCACTTATTTTTCTTCGAAAATATGGCACACAATGTAATCGAATTTGCAGTATTGTTGACATGGAAAAATGTTGAAAAGAAATTGTAACACTTGATTAGGGCAATGATTTGAATTTTCATTACAACTGCTTGGTCCGTGAAGGGTTATACTTATTAAAGAGAAAAACAGTTGAAAAGTAAAACAATAGTAGCCAGCTGAGATAGCAAAATAGCAAACAAACTTAAATATATTACATTGGTTTCATCCGATCTTAAGTTTTTGAAAAGCTTTGCACGCTTCTGTTCTGATTGAGGGCTCATTTCCATATGGATAAAATGCTACTATGAAGTTCTAGTAATTACCACATGTATAGTGAAGATTCCATGACTGTCGGGTCTCTATAACTGGAAGGGATCCGCACTTTTTTCCGAGGGTTGCCAACTCTGTAGCATTCAACAAAATATCTTTGGGAAAACGACATTTTACATTGCTACAACAACAATATATTGATAGTAAAACAAACATTATTTGCTTAGTATACAGCTGGAAAGGCCTAAAAGGTTATATCGACTTCATTATATCCAAAAATCTGTTATTACACTCTTGCAACCAGTTCCTACAGAATATTATAGTTTTTTTTTCACCTAACACTTATAAGTATCACATAAAACTAAGCGAGATAAGATATAGAGTTATACATATATAAATGATCGGATGACGAGAAAAGTTGAAATCCGGTTAACTGTCTGTCTGTCCGTCCGTCCGTGCAAGCTGTAACTTTAGAAAAAAGTGCAATACCTTAATAAAACACGTGTAGGGTTTCTTAGTACAAAAAAAGTTCGAGTTCATAG